AACCTTACAATCATGAAGGTCAATGCCATCTTTACTGACTCTATGTACAACCTTACAATCATGAAGGTCAATGCCATCTTTACTGACTCTATGTACAACCTTACAATCATGAAGGCCAATGTCATCTTTACTGACTCTATGTACAACCTTACAATCATGAAGGTCAATGCCATCTTTACTGACTCTATGTACAACCTTACAATCATGAAGGTCTATGCAGGGGCGTAGCGAGGGGGGGGGGCGGGGGGTGCGGACCGCACCGGGTGACACCATTTAGGGGGGTGACACCAAGGCAAAAAATAGCAAAATATATAGAGAAAAACTCGAGGGGGGGGTGCAAATCGAAAGTTTGAGGGGGGGGGTGCAAATCGAAAACTCGAGGGGGGGGGGTGCAAAACGAAAGTTTGAGGGGGGGGGGGGGGTGCAAATCGAAAACTCGAGGGGGGGGTGCAAATCGAAAGTTTGAGGGGGGGGTGCAAATCGAAAATTTGAAAGTTTGTCCCTGGGAAGGGTCTCTATGCCTCTGGGGGGGTGACACCATTAAGTGCCGCACCGGGTGACACCCGACCTCGCTACGCCACTGGGTCTATGCCATCTTTACTGACTCTATGTACAACCTTACAATCATGAAGGTCAATGCCATCTTTACTGACTCTATGTACAACCTTACAATCATGAAGGTCCGTATTATCTTTACTGACTCTATGTACAACCTTACAATCATGAAGGTGAATGCCATCTTTACTGACTCTATATCTGATTTTCAGAACATTTACGTCTATTGGACACTGGGCTATGAGGCTGGTGTTTTTACATTCTGATTTTGTTGGTCACGACCTTGATTGGACGGAAGGTCGTGTTTAATTGGGCGCCGGGAAACATGGGTTTAATGGACTGGATACAAATGTTACATTTTTGTCAATGCTATTGTTTGTTAAATTAAATATAACTGTTTCATGATAGTGGAGCGGCCTCAACTTTTTAAAGTATAGGTCAATTGGTTTAAGAACACATCGAGCGAATTAAAGAAGTCTGAATATCATTGAATTTAGTTTTAATTCTATTAATAGTGCATAGTTATTAAATGCGATGTTACATCGCCGATTTAGAGACCATGCAGTTTTGGCATCTTCATAACAATCATCATTCAGACAGTTGTTGATAATAATAATTTACGCAAGGTTTTCCACAACCTTGATTTTCAAAACAAAATATGTGTAGTATATTTTGAAATGCATTTTTAAAACTGCCAAATGGATCGGTTTTTTTTTCTTTATTTATAATATAGTGTGTGTAAAGGAGAGATTCATCTTTAGACCTAATTGTGCAGATGAAATGGAGTTCATTTTTTTTTTACCTCGGCATATACAGTGATAATGTGGTCAGCACTATGCCTAGGTGCCTTTACGTTCCCTAACGAGAGTTAGGTACCCATTAGAGTTGTGTTGACTCAGAGATTCCACTAACATGAACCCGGATTCGAACTCGAAACAATCCGGTTAAGATTCGAGCGCTCTACAGCTAGGAAACGCCGCCCCATAAAAATAAGTTTCTGTGCTCAGTTATTTTTCGTATTGGAGAATTTTAAAGTAAAGTAATTAGTACACATACAAAACGAGACCACAACATGGGACCACAAGATAAGACATCCACAGTAGTCCACAACATCATACCACAACATGAGACCACAACATCAGACCACCACAGTAGACCACATCAAAAGACCTGCAGTAAACAACCACATGACCTTTCAAAATCACACCATCAATAGACCACCAATAGACCATCAAAAGACCATCAATAGACCATCAAAAGACCATCAATAGACCATCAATAGACCATCAATAGACCATCAATAGACCATCAATAGACCATCAATAGACCATCAATAGACCATCAATAGACCATCAATAGACCATCAATAGACCATCAATAGACCATCAATAGACCATCAATAGACCATCAATAGACCATCAATAGACCATTAATAGACAATCAATAGACCATCAATAGGCCATCAATAGACCATCAATAGACCATCAATAGACCATCAATAGACCATCAATAGACCATTAAAAGACCTGCATTAAACAACCACAAGACCTTTAAAAATCACACCAACAATAAACCCAAATAGTGATGATATGTATCGCTAAGGAAAATATGATATCAGTTGCATATTTAATGGCAGTAACTCATTTGAATGTGTAGTGAAATATAAATGACCTACAGTAGTTTGTTTAACTTCACACTCCGCGTGCGCTAAAAAGAATCAATTAAACCAAGATTTTGGGAAAGGATTTTATTCATTATATAACATAGCATACCGGTCGCTATTGACGTGACTGACTGACATAAAATATGGGCGTCTTGTATTACCTACAGTGTTACACCGTGTGGACCAGACTGTTACGACTGTCATGTGAGAGGTTGGAGTCACTTGATCCAATATACTATATCACTACCATATGACGAGGTCATAACCTTATTATGTCATTTTCACATCCAGATGACCAGGTGACAATTCATATATAAGACGAACTCAGTGATTCCTTCTTCAACTTTATTCTAGTACTAGACGTGTGTTTAAAATCTCCATCTACATTCACAACTCACAAATCAATCACATCGGTCAGCATACGTCCTTTCACCCCGACGATCAAGATAAGAAGAACTCACACACAAATGCCCAGCAACCAAGTTTCTACCCATAACGTCACTACCTTTCAATTCGCGTCATCCTTCTAACGCGTTCAACATACTCTTTGCTCCAACATTCACTCACACACATTTCTAATTGAAACAAGCATCATAACACAGACACAAATGAGCTGAGAAAGAGAAGTGCCCTTGGTAGTCTTGAGCCACTTGTACCTAAAGGAGGTTTTTAATCAGGTGATATGTAACGTCTACATGTGGACCAATTTTAGTCGGCTCACGTCAATTTTCATGATCACAAGATTTCTCACGCTGTTTATATTGTAACAAATTCCCCAAAAAAATGTACAATCGTTAAAGACTATCATGTTAATTTTTTTTTAAAAATTACAGATACGTGATAAATATTTCGGGCAGATGAGGCTCGTTAGCTGAGGACAGCCACCAATATAGGAGAGACAACTCCAAAATCAAACAACTGCTGCCTTGTAGTTGTTTATTGGTTGGACAAAGGCTATGGAAGCAAATCCAAAAATAAAAGCAGACTGAAATCGGAGTCAATGGCCTCAATGGCGCAAAACCGGTTGACTCGTATTCTTAATTGTGTTGGAGGGAATCCTTTATAACACTAAAATTAAGAACAAAGAAGAAGGAAAAGTGAAAAATACTGCACAGCCTGTGAATCAGACTTGCCATCGTAGGGATTTGAACACGAAGTGCCGCATATTGCTACTTACAATATGCAATCAAGCCACTGGGCCACAGATATACGACCCTATTATCTGAATTGCTTTCCATATTACAGGGTTATACCACCCTAGTCAAAGCCATATGGTAAAATCTCCGCTGTGGTCAAACCACCAGGGGTCACTGTTGTTTACATATTTACTCGGATAGTGTTCTAAGACAGTTGGTGTTTTTTGTTGGCCAGGTGGCTGGTTGAGTAACACACGCAACGCGTTGTCGCAGCGTGTTCAAATCCAAGTCAAGCTCAATGTTATTATATAGACCAATCGAAAAAAAAAATGTGTCGTTCTAATTTATTTTGCAATTATTTCTTTAATTTTTACATCAGTTTATTGCCGGGATGAAGTACAATTTTTGTTTGTGGTAAATTGAAGGTTAGGTGTTGTAATTGTTATTAAACCACACGCCGTGTGGTGTGCGCTATACCCGCATGTGGGTTGATACAAACGTTTAAACTGTTTGGCTTTACTCAGTAATTAAGACATCCACAGTATATCATAGATGGCTTTAAAAACAAATTACGTGTTATTTCTGGGTTATCAATGGAGTGGTATTTTTTGGTTTAAATAATAGAACATTTTTATAGTTTAGCCTTATTGAATTTGTTTGCACAACAACATAACATTCTATATATATAGACCACATACGATAAGGTAGGGAGGTGTAAAACGTAAAACTTGTCAGTGTATACGTTCATTATTCTTAATTTTTACACGTTTACAATAGGTCTTCTGGACTCCGTATACGAGAAAGTAAAAATGAGTAGGTGTTATATTAGTAATTTTATGTTATTATTTATTTCAGTTTCTTTTGGGTACATAACTCTAGCTAGTAAAATAAAGGTGGCTGGTCATAGTGCAGATCAAACTATAACTTCATACTTCAGAAACAGGTGAACTCTACTTCACTCAACTAAATAAAATAGAATTATACTCTAAATTATGTTTTGTTATCGTAACACGAACCACTCTTAGCAAGGGAATGGTAATTTTTTTTAAAAGCGGCGCCTTTCTATCACCCTTTCTTGAAATTACTTCATCAATAGTAACATAACAACGAGAACCAAAGTGTTTAAATTTATTTTTGTAACTTCTTCAAACAAACGCCAGGATTGCGTAAAGCGAACAGATTTACAGATGTATATCTTATGACTAAAAGTTTGCTTCAGGATATTAAAACAACATACAGTTTACTTTTTTCAAGCTATCAAAAATGCCGGGACCTTTAATTGTAACTATTTAGACAGAACACCACTGTACAGACCTTAGAAAAAGAAATCGTGGTTTTATAGATGGCACACTACACCTGTCACGTTCGCTGGGTTATTGTTTGAAACAACAATCGCATCAACGAAAGCATTCATCTAGAAAATGCAACCACAAAATCGCACTTTTGGTATTGCTATATTTATTCATTAAATAGATTGTCAACAATCCAATCTACGTGAATTAAGCGATTGCCTTTAAAACGAAGTCGAGATTTGTTTATCTAGCCATTATAAATACAAGAACAATGACCATCACCAGGACTATTAAAAGGCTTTTATTAGTATACAACAATCCCCCATCCTGTTTTACGCGATACTACATTTATTGTTAAATTATCTTCTTCCGGGAAAAGATGCTAAAAAACTGTTCTCTGTACTTATGGCTCATCCTGAGGTAGACTAAGATGTTGAGGCTAGAGAGTACGGTCTCAGAGAGGTAGGAGACGCAGTAGCCCATCAGAGCCAGGTAGAAGTACCTCCCCCCATAGCTAATGTCCGGCACGAAGATGACCACCGTCAAGATGGTAGATTGTGGGATGAGGCAGACGACAAACACGATGGAGATGGTAGACAGCATGACGACTGTCTTACTCTCCTTGCTGGAGATGTGTGTCTCTGTCTTGACATGTGACATGGACTGTCTCCATCTGGCTTGTTGTTTTAGCTTGATGGTAATGATGGCTGTGCTCATTAGGATAATGAAGAAGGTTGTGTACGGCGCCATGAGGTCGTTGATGTAGTACGAGATGTTAAACACCATATACGGGTTTTGGCGGTACATGATGTGTAGGATGGATTTATTAAGAGACGGAGAAAAACCCCAGTCTAAGTAGATGGTGTAGTACAGAGGAAACAGATCCAGTGTCGTGATAGCGAAGATTAATATCACAGTGACGATGGCGGTTTTGTTGGTGAAGATGCGTTTAACTTTTAAAGGACAGACCACACACACGCATCTTTCTAGAGAAGCGTAGGCCGTGATGAACCCACACACCCTCATGAAATAGTTGTGGGGGTAGAAGGATATAATCATGATCAGATCTGTGAGGTTAAGGTCAAGGTCGGCTTTGAGAAACCAGGGGTTCATGAGCAGGTAGAAGACCTGGAGCGTCACCAGCGCCCCAGTGTCGCTGACGGCGAGTGCTGTGAGGGTGATGTTGACGGCGAGTGCCGTGAGGGTGATGTTGACGCTGTCGCTGTAGCCCTGCTTGTAGAAGACCAGGATGTTGATGGCGTTGCCTAGGATACCGAACAGCCCGGCGGTGCCACAGATGAAGATCTGGACTGTCAGGACGAGATCCACGATGTGGGGGTCAAGCACGTACAAGGAGGGGGGGCTCTCGGTGGGCAGAGTCGTGTTGGGACTCATGGTCTTTCGGAGCCACTCGATAACCGAGCTACTAATTAATTAGTGTTTATAACTTAATTGCTTTTTGTCCAACTATAGTTTTCGGTTATATATTGAAATTATTATTCTATGTAGATTTTGAACTTCAATTATATATTACTATATATAAATTATGTATAAATATGCACATATATATGTTGATATATATTGGTGTTTTTTAGAAAGCGCAACGAAGATGGGTATGATAAGAATGGTAAACACAGGTTAAAATTTACATGACAAAATTAATATTATAGAGCTTGTATTAGTTGCTTGTACCTACTTTTATACACAGTTTTAACTTGTATTATTTTATTATGTTTTTTATTATATTTTTTATTTTATTAAACCAGTAAGCGAATGTGATAAAAAATATATCTCAGTTTAAAGTTTAGGTAATTTTAAAATGCTTAAATAACCATGAGAGAAAATATTATTTTAGTTTTCATTTTGTAAAAACTCTCAGAAAAATACTCTTTTGTATTTATTTATTTTTATTCTAAAACATCTACAACAAATGTGATTATAACCTCGATTCTCGTGCAAATATGGCACCGATTATTCTGGTAAAAATATCGTCTCATATAGGCTATTGGGTATAGAAATAATTGTTTTTAAAAATAACTGAATAAAAGAGAAAATTTAAATTTAATATAGTGCATTGAATAACTTTAAGCTGCGGATGGTTAAAAAAAGCTTGTGTTTGTTAATGCTTCAACGGCGTTGTAAAGTTGTAGAAGATTCGAAATATTTACTGCATTTGTCTGAGGCAGTTACCTCCCTAACCACTATTGAAATATACATCGATGTTATAAGTCGTTAGGTGTATTGACGTGTAGTCTCTAATCGATTTAATTAAACGACAAGATCACGTGACAACCTACGGTACATAATCGACTACATCACACTTACAATTTTATCCAATTTTCGACTACATCACACTTACAATTTTATCCAATTAGTTAGAAAACCAGTTTAAATTTCCCCTCGCATTTAGCGATATCATTTACATATATTTGTTACAACGAATTTTGTTATTTAGTATTCGATGAAAATTGTGCCTGCTGAGTGGAGTTTCCAGTAAATGTTCATTATTACAATTGACTTGAACTCAATGACTACCCATTCTATCGGATTGCTCAATGATTTGCGAAAATTCATGTATACCCTTCGGGAAGTTACTTGGTAAAAAATACGCGTAAAAATATATTCAAATTAATCGCTATTTTCAATGCAGATAAGTGGTGCAGTTTTATGTCGATTTCTTGGCCTGAGGTTATTTAAACTCGTAATTTACAAACGTGCCTGCGTGTAATCAATAGCTGTAATTTGATCTGATAGATCTTTGATTGGTTTAATTAAACTCGTGACGGTAATTTACAAACGTGTCTGCATGTAATCAATACCTGCAATTTGATCTGATAATTTTTAGAGTAGTTTAAACATAGTTGAACTTTGTGATAGTCTTCAGGGTTTTATGTTTGTTAAATTAAAAACAGCCAGTTGTTATGTTATAATGCATTGTGTTATTTTATTTATCACTGTAACATTATTCTTTATTTATACATTAGGTAACAATATAGTAGATGCCAGACATTTTCACATTTAAGTCGTTCTGCAGTTCAGATACGATATATCAGGTATTTGTTAGGCGGACTAGTATTTTGGTGGGTTCTTACAAGCAGAAGATGCATAAAATTTTTTCATAAAAAACGTTTTAATAACAAGCTTTTATGTACTAATGCACTAAAAAGTAGAAAATAAATTATAGACTACTATTTAAATAACTATAAAGAAAAGCGTGGGTCACTTTAGTATCTATTGGATACCTTCACTAATGTTTACATAAAAGCTTGTTATTAAAACGTTTTTTATGAAAAAATTCAGTACTTTACATGTTTTATTTACAATAGAGTTACATGACTAAAAACCAATGTGCGCCTACTGAACGTGATGGCGCGCTTACTGAATTTGATGGCGCAGCTATTGAACGTGATGACGCGAGTGGTGCGGTTGGATAGACATGCCTACTAATTCGATCCAAATTTTAATTAATTCATAAAAAATTAATTAGGCATCCAATTAAGTCAAATTTAGTTACAGATTGCATTGTCTTCATGTCTTGACCCACGTGCCAACAGTGAATCGTATCGGTCAAGTAGAACTGTCCGAATTTTCGCTCCGGCGTTTCGATCTAGACAGACAGACAGACTGACGACTGACGAGGACGTGAGTTAAATAAAAGCTTATAAAAATAAGTTTTACTTTAAACGTAAACATAAGACGGTGGTTAGGATTTAACTATGGATTTTTTGTTTCGGTTCACAAAGAGTTGACATTAACTTTCTTTCAAAACTGCCAGGAAAGATTTTAATTATCCAAAATAGTATAGGTTAGTCGTAACACAATTTTAAAATATCTTATAGGTATATATTTTGAGATATATAGTTTTTAACATTGGATAACTGTTATATGCACTACAATAATTTATACACTAATTTCTTGAGATATTCCATAGCAAGAGTCTAGTGTATCGACCTTGTTATTCTGAAATGAATTTTTAAATTGAAATGTCCTAACTAGTTTCTATGCCGCTTGGTATAACGTTCTAATTTCAACTTTTTATTTTGCCTACTTTGCCAATGCTAGTCAGACATCTACAATTAGATTATTTCGTGTTTTCCCTGCAACACACAGTTGCTCGATAGTTGATTTTACAACTTACTTAACAGGCAGTCGATGGACTTTATTACATTTTTTTTTTAAAATTAAGTATTTCATAACTTATGGAATAACGTGGTCAAATGTTAGGGCTAACGCAACTTGCTCGTACTGATACCGCAGGATATGGAACAGTCCACCGTCTTATCAACGTCTTCCAATGTCGGAATTGATTCCCCTGTCGGAATTGATTCCCATGTCGGAATTGATTCATATGTAGGAATTGATTCCCCTGTCGGAATTGATTCCCCTGTCGGAATTGATTCCCATGTCGGAATTGATTCACATGTCGGAATTTTCAAACATTTAGGGACAGAATTGATTACATGCATCATATTAATATTAGTCCAGCAAAGTTAAGTAACACAATAATATATATATATATGGATTCCATGAAAAAAAAATTGCGCGAAAGGAAAAATGCTTACATATAAGCTTTTTATACTAATACATTATTATTTTGTCATGTTTCGAGAAAAAAATGTTTTACTATGCTAAATTGAACATGTGGTCATTCTTTACTAACGAAGGACAAAAGCACGACATAAAAAAACCAACTTCAACAATGTGACATACTAATGTACGAGAAAGCAAGTTGATTAAAATCTTTAAAAAGAAAGAATATTAAAATACTTTTATTATATCTTTTAAAATATGCAAGTGTTATTATTAAATTTATATGATATTGATATATACGCACTTGTTATTATATTTTTAAAACAACGAGTTCTTTAATAAGTGATTTTTTAAAATAAAACATTTGATTAGTATAATTTATCATGTTCGACGATGAAATATTGATCATTGAGTTTACAAGGAGACAAACAATTCATTTGTAAAGGATGGCGGCTCGTTTTTTTTTCAAAATTATCTTCGATTATTTTATTAGTACAAATCAATGAAACTCTTGGACTCGGCCAGCGTCAAACGTAAAATTGTGTAGAAGCGTCAAGGCTAAAGAGGTGGAGTGAACACATTTTGGTATGAACAATGGGCAGGTTGGTTCGTATAATGTGTTTTGTGAATATTTCATTTAGAAGGATTGTATTGTATTTTACCATTCTGTGTTTACATTCACATTTAACTCAAAGCACGGATGGAAATCTTGACTTCAAATTAAATGAGTAAAAATGGCTTATAGCAGGCAGTGTGAAAATAAAAAGAGATAGCGCAAAAAGGATCTAATTTCTATCTCGTGATGTAATGTTAATTAATAAACGTCTTGCATTGGAACTAGATCCCGATGGATCTGGCTCAACAGAGTAGAACACGTTTTTTAATGTTTTATATTTTGAATTGTTTTTGTAAGGTATTGTTAGAATATAAAGAAAATAGACAAAAAATGTTATTAATGAAATATTTTTTTAGAAGTTAAATAAAATCTACCTTCGAAAGATAGCGTACATAACTACTAAAACGTAAAGCTATAATGGGGTTCCTAGACGCGATTTCGTAGGTCGTCCCTGTGTCTACAGAGCTATGAAGGATAACTGTTTCACTTTGGGGAACGTAAAACTGGTTGGACATAGCGCTGACCACACCACCCCTGTATATGGCATTTAAACCCCAGTCTGTGGATGACCAGAACAGTTCAGCTGCTGATATGAGCATAGATTAACTAGGCTGTATTCCTTATGCAGGGCTATATGTGCTAGCACTTTGCCTTGTACTATTCTTTGTGGTGCTGTGTGTGCAATAAATAAGGATCCAGGAGCAAGCCGCATCGTTGGTTGTGTTATCTCTGATGGTCAGCCCTTAACCACACCACACATCAGTGGGTGACGTCACACCACATATCCACACACGTACTGAGGTAGTGTTACGACACATATCCACTGAGGTAGTGTTACGACACATATCCACTGAGGTAGTGTTACGACACATATCCACTGAGGTAGTGTTACGACACATATCCACTGAGGTAGTGTTACGACACATATCCACTGAGGTAGTGTTCATTGTCATGCTGTTCACCCAATCAATATTAATTTGTAAAACAAAAATAATTTGCCTACATGGACATGTCATAGTACTACTTAAAAGTCAAATAGAAGCTTGTAAAAAAAGCTTACCATCATCATCGATAGAACAATAAGATGAAAACCTTATTTTGTTTTTTAATGTAAATATTAGTTTTTTCAATGACCAGCGTATTTAATTAACTGTTAATTAGATATCATGTTGTTGTAATAGAAACTAGAGGCAGTGGCAAACATGTGAACCTAAATTTATTAAAAGGACTAATAGCGGCTTGTCTAATT